GTTAAGAATTTTGCAGGGGACCCAGAAAAACTTCGCTATATCTGTGTTGATCTTATCCGTGTTCGTACCAAATGAGTTTTACTGTAATGTGATTAATTTTCATATGTTGATCCTAGATACTGATGTAACCTTTTCAACTGTATCAACATCTTTTGATCTTGCCATTTTCTTTGAACTCGACATCACCTTTTTAGCTCACCTGAGCTGAAGGCTCAAGTGAGCCTTTCTGATCAAAATTTGTCCGTTGTCTGTCGTTGTTGTCGTAGTTGTCGTATTTGTTCAAACTGTTAAGGCTAAGAAACTGCTTAATAACTGCCTTCCACTTTGCCATGGGTTATTTTTCATAAATTAAACTGATTTTTTCTTTTAGAACTTTATTTTAGAACATTATCCCATGGACCTAAAATTTTGTCATTCCCATTTTTAAAAAAAAAAATTGATATTATTTTTCTTAACACAAATGATTTCTATAACTGTAAAGTTGATAGTATATTCATTGAACTTCATGATTATTATAATTGTTTAGTCAGGCTTTAAAGATACATGTTATTACAATTAAATGTTTTTCTTATAAAATGATTTATATTTGGTATATTTAGATACTCTGTTACATTACCATCAACTTTCACTTCCCCAGCCTAACCTGCTGGGATTGTGCTAATTACTTACAGATGTGTTGAGCATGTTTAGGAACGACTTATCTGTGATGTTGTAAACCTAAGAACGGCTTATCAATTTATATCCGGTTTGTGTACAGCAGTTCTGTTTCCCACCCTAGTATCTTTTTAATTCATATAATGAATACACCTTGTTTATACATTGATGGAATTTTATTTTTATGTTCTAGCTGTAAACAAAACAGCATTTTTCTTCAAAATTACAAATTGTACTGAGTAGAACTTCCAGAAATCATAGAAGAGTTTAGCTAACTAGGGGGTTGTAAATAACAGCATCTGCATCCAAGTATTTGCACCAATTTTAAACCACCAGGCAGGTCATGCCAAGAACAATGAGATTAGAGAAAGCCACAACAAAGCACAGATGGTGTAGAAGAGGTAAATATTTTGAAAACATAGCTTAACATTGAAACTTTTTATCTATGAAAATAAAAGACAGCTGCATTTGCTTTTGATTTGCAGAGCCAGATGTTAATGATTGAAAATTGGGTCAGTAGTATTTTGAATTACATAAATTATTCTTTTTCCAGAAAATGATGTACATCTAAATCCTTATCACAGTTGGAAAATTGATTGAATGATGAAATGGTCATAAGAGGAGGAGAAAAGATCTTGCAATATTAAGAGTTGACCAGCAGCATAGCTTTCCATAAATGCAATAATGCCAGTGAACTGTAGCCATTTGGAAGATTGCATCAGGAAGAAGATGACCGTTTGCAACATGCCAGTTATAAAGCATTCAAACTTCTTTTTGTGAATATTTCAGTCTATGAAAATGTGATTGGTAAATGTGATGTGAAACGTGAATGACAGAATTGCTCGTGATTTGCATCTTTTATGCCAATTTAGGAGTAAAAAGAATGGCAGGAGTACTCGGCATGATTCTCAAAACTGTGATTCACTGTGATTATTGGAATGTTTCAACTGTTTACTATAAAACTCAGCCTTGGATGTTAAAATGCTGTGAATCTGTTAATATATTCTAACATGTAACTGTGCTTTGAAAAAGTAAATGTTAGATTATGATTTTTTAAATTTTAATGACAATCCTTTACTAATGAATCTCATTCACATTTTATCACACTGAAAAATATTAAGAAAATAAAAGTGATGTATGCTTAGCTTAATTTGTCTAATCTTTTTTTAGCATATGTAGTCAAAAATCTTTGTACTAAAGTTGATTGTACATTTATATTCATGCTATAGTTGTAGCTCCCATTGCTGTAATATAATTAATGTTTAATTCAAATCTATTTAAAGCAGGCGTATTTTTTGTACAGGCGTATTTTTTTGTACGGGCGTATTCTTTTATACGGGCGTATTTATTTTGCAGGCGTATTTTTAAGGGTATGCTTGAAATCTAGGCGTAATTCTATTTTTAAAATTTCCAGACGTATTTTGAATTTCCAGGCGTACTCATTTGCATATTTTGGCCAAAAATACGGGAGGATTACGCCTCGTGTACGCCTGTATTTTACATTATACGCCTGGTTTTATATATTCATTTCAATAGAGATTTCCACAAGGATTTTTAGATTAAAATACGCCTGGATTTTTTTAAAAATACGTGACTTAAATTTCGTACGGGAAACTTTTCACATTTTCATCTTCTTCTCAAGAACCACTGGGCCAATTTCAACTTAACTTGCTACAAAGTATCCTTGGGTAAAGGGGATTCAAGTTTGTTCAAATGAAGGGCCATGCCTTTTTCCAAGGGGAGATAATTATGAATTAGAGAAAAATTAATGGCATTTTTAAAAAATCTTCTTCTCAAGAACTACTGAGCCAGGAAAGGTGAAACTCATGTGGAATCATCCTCAGGTAGTGTAGAATCAAGATTGTTCAAATCATGACCCCCAGGGGTAGGGTGGGGCCAAAATGGCTGATCAAAGTTTTACATAGGAGTATATAGGAAAAATCTTTGAAAATCTTCTTATGAACCATTGAGACAGGAAAGATGAAACTTGTGTGAAATTATCCTCAGGTAGTGTAGATTCAAGTTTGTTCAAATCATGACCCCAGGGGATAGGGTGGGGCCACAATGGCTCATCAAAATTTTACATGGGAATTATAGGTATAATCTTTAAAAATCTTCTTCTCAAGAACAATTGAGACAGGAAAGATGAAACTCATGTGAAATCATCCGCATTTAGTGTAGATTCAAGTTTGTTCAAATCATGATCCCCAGCCATTAGGGCGATGCCAAAATGGCTGATCAAAGTTTTATATAGGAATATATAGGGAAATCTTTTAAAATTGTCTTCTCAAGTACTTCAAAGCCATGATTAGTGATATTCATATGGAATATAAAGGTAGTGTAGATTATAGTTTGTTCAAATCATAACCCCCGATATAAGGTGGGGCTACATTGGGGGACCCAAGTTTTACATTTAAAAATATTTTAAAAATCTTCTTCTCAAGAATACAAAGCCATTATTAGTGATACCAGTATTTATATGGAAGCATTCTCAGGTAGTGTAGGATAAAATTTGTTCAAATCACAACCCCCAAGGGTAGGATGGGGCCACAATGGTGGATCAAAGTTTTACATAGAAAAAGAGAGGGAAAAATTCCATGAACAGAAAGCTATGTTTAGTCATATTGGCATGTAAGCATCCTCATGTATGGAAGCATCCTCATGCCCTTTGGGGTAGGGAGGGAAACAATGGGGAATCAAATTCAAATTATTATGAAGAAATCTTTTTATCAAGAACAGCAAAGTCATATGCTGTATTGATATGAAGGCATTTTCAAATAGTATATTAAAATTCAAGCCCCCCCCCCCCCCCCCCAGTAAACTATCAGTTCTGATCTGATACATGCTTTTTCCTAGCCGTTGTGCTCAGGTGAGCCCCTGGGCCCCTTGTATAAATAAAAGTATAGATAAATAAATATATAAAGTGTTTAGCTCAGTTTTGAATAAACAATTCAAGATATTTTTATCAAACTTCATATGAGTAAATTTTTTTAACTTTGATATTTCCTATGAACTTGACCTCACTTTTTAGCTCACTTGAGCCAAAGGCTCAAGTGAGCTTTTCTGATCAAAATTTGTCCATTGTCTGTCGTTGTCGTCATTGTTGTCGTTAACTTTTCACATTTTCATCTTCTTCTCAAGAATCACTGGGCCAATTTCAACCAAACTTGGCACAAAGTATCCTTAGATGAACGTGATTCAAGTTTGATCAAATGAAGGGCCACGTCCACTTCCAAGGGGAGATGATTATGAAAAAGTGAAAAATTAATGGCATTTTTAAAAAATCTTCTTCTCAAGAACCACTCGGCCAGTAAAGATGAAACTCATGTGGAAGCATCCTCAGGTAGTCTAGATTCAAGTTTGTTCAAATCATGACCCACAGGTGTAGGGTGGGGCCATAATGGCCAATCAAATTTTTTCATAGGAATATATAGGAAAAATCTTTCAAAATCTTCTTCTCAAGAACCACTGGGCCAGGAAAGCTAGTTGAAACTCAAGTGGAATCATCTTCAGGTAGTGTAGATTCAAGTTTGTTCAAAACATGACCCCCAGGGCTAAGGTGGGGCCACAATGACCGATCAGATTTTTTCATAGGAATATATAGGAAAATCTTAAAATCTTCTTCTCAAGTACTTCAAAGCCATGATTAGTGATATTTATATGTATATGAAATCATCCTCAGGTAGTGTAGATTCTAATTTGTTCAAATTATAACCCCCAGGGATAGGGTGGGGCCACAATGGGGGATTCAAGTTTCTGTATACTTTTCAGTTCTGATCTCATTCCGATTTGCTCAGGTGAGCGATGTGGCACTTGGGCCTCTTGTTTAAAATTTGTGTT